GAATCATCGCTTTTTGAGTTAGATATTTAAGAACACCAAGAACATCTCCTTATTCTTGGTGGCTATAAACTCCATAAAGCCATCCAAAGTGTGAGTTTTTCCTCTATCATCTAGTTACACATAAGAAGCACTAGATTCAAGACCTCTAAACATCATCTAACTACATAACTCCAAGAGTTTACGATCGTAAACTCTTTGTTATGGCCGTAAACCCTTGTTTTGGGCATGTTTTGGTCATGAACACTCCTTAAGACCAAGCATAGGACCTTAAACCTTTGATAGATGCTAGTTATGGCCGTAAACACCTCTTAAACTCAAGTACTCATGGCCATAAACCCACCCTATGGCCGTAAACTCTTAGGGGGTGGTCGTAAACTACATTTATACAATCATATGTGATTGTAACACTTCATGTCATGTGTTTCCTAGTCCCTGAGGTTGTTCCATTACATAATTAGGTGTTACATACACTAATTATATACATATATGTGTTATTATATGCTTAATAGGCTCTGTTTGTGCTCGGGATATCACTTGGCATCAGTCTTTCATCCGAATCACTCACTACAGGTGAGTTCATACCCCCTTAAATTACCTTTTAAATTATTTTAAATGCTTTTAGGGGGGGGGGGGATACAGGTAGAAAACATGTTAGTTATATAATCAGTCACAAGTGATTATAACTACAAAGTAAATAATTCCATATATTTCAAATGTGTTATCAAACAAACTGCTTCAAATCACTTTATAAACGGACATCAAGTCATTTATACTTTCCCAATATTAAACCCTTTTCATATTTCACAAAACTCCTTTTCTAAAACTTATAAATATTATCAAGAGCATGTACATGTAGATATAGTTATATAAATAATGATTAAAGGGCTTAGGAATAACAACTCGCTTTACTTCCTTTTCCTTGTTTGGATGTGGATTTAGAGTATCGATTGTTTGTCCAAAGGTCGTTTAAATCTTAGTTATATATTATGTATATGTATGTAGATATAAAAAGTACTACCAATCAGTTTGATACCTTTGGGTAGCAAAGGTATACATTCATGATCATTCATTCAAACTACCTAAGTTATTAGTAAACTATAATAGGTATAGTTTAGAGAATTACTGCTTACTATTTCTAGAACATTGAAACTTACATGAGTCAATTCTTACATGAGTCAGTCCAAACAAACAATAACAAGTACAAAACGGAACACACATCTGTTTCAAGAACAAGATAACTTTAATGTGAGTCTACTTCATGGCACAACAACAAGCTTGTTGTGTCACGTTTTGTAACCAGAGTCTCCTGGAGGGAGAGCAGACATTGTGTGTATAGATCTATATGGGACTGACAAGCCCACATACTTAATGTTTGCTACAATTAGCCAAAAGGTCAGGGGTGACAAATGTCACATTTACTTTCGGCGCCAGAGGGTCGTCGTGTTAACTACTTGTCGATTTAGCATGGTTATAACCACATCACAATTAAACCTTAATTAACAAACTGGTTTTAAGGTAATTAGTGTTTTAGTAGGTAATTTTTACAACATTACCGTACACTTTCATTTTTCTCATTTCATTTATATAGTGATATTCTCACATAAAAGGTAACGAAACTACTTTCTAGAAAAGATAGTCTTAAACATTAGGAAAACACACAATACATACTATTTCAAGTACAAACATACAAAATAGTCGAGTCTTGGTAGAAGACTACATTACATCATTTTAAGAGAAACAAACATATAAACCAGTTAGGTCTTGGTAGAAGACTGCTTTCCATATTAGTAGAAAATATATGATTTTCTAGGAGATTTCAAACACATACAAACACTTTCACAAAATTTTACATCAAACATCTACAAACAATTATCATTAAAATACTTATGAACTCACTAGCTTAAATGTTGATCCTCTCTTTCAAAATAACTTGTTTTCTCAGGTCACCTATAGATAGGTACCGATGATAGGTTTTGAGAAGACGGAGCACTTCCAGTCTCGTCTTTATTTTGATTTTAACTTTTTGGTGTCTTATTAGCATCTTTGCACAGAACACACTTGTATGAAATTATATTATTAATGCAATGGATGATGTTGTTGCTTGTTTACTATTATGCATTGTTATGATACTATACATAACGTCCTCCGCCCCCGAATGTTTCCACCAATTCGGTTTGGGGGTGTGACACAACAACACTGAAAATCTCAGATCTAAAGCTTCTCTCTTCATATATACACCACCAACTTCAACTCCTTCAATAAAAACATCAAAGAACACTCTATAGAATCTCACACACTCAAAATGGAAAATGAGGCATGATTTAGGGTTTCTATGGACTGAGGGGACGATGACGGAGGCTAACAATGAGAGTTAAGGCCTTTAAATAGGGTACAAACCCCAAAAAAATTTGGGTTTTCATGTTCAGCCTTCAACTCATCGAGTGGACCTTGAAAGATGTGAGACCATTAAAACTCTACACGACGATTTGGAACCCTCCAACTTGTCGAGTTGCCATGAAAATATAAATATAAAAGCTTAAAATCATACTTGAAGATTGGGATATTACATTATTTTTTAGGGCGAGGTTGGTCAACGAATCATGGGGAGTACCGAGGTGGTACTCAAGACCACTGAGATGATTCAATAGGTTCGAAGCAGGCATCAAACAAATCAGAGTTATCAGAAGAGCTATGCCGACAAGCGCCGATCAGATTTGGAGTTCCAGGTGGGAGATATGGTTCTCCTGAAGGTGTCACCTTAGAAAGGTGTCAGTCGGTTTAGGAAGCGGTACAAGCTGGGCCCCAAGTATATCGGTCCCTTCAGGGTTTTGGCTCGGTGGGCCGAGTTGCATATCATTTGGATCTTCCAACCGAGCTCATCCAGATTCATAATACTTTCCATGTCTCTCAGTTGCAGAAGTTATTGGTGGATGATTCTGCAGTTGTACCCTTGGAGGATATTCAGGTGGACGATCGCTTGAATTATGTTGAGAAACCAGTGGCGATATTAGATCGGAAGACAAAAACCTTGTGGAACAAGGTGGTGGAGCTTGTGAAGGTGTAGTGGCTGCACCGCAAGGGGTCGGAGTGGACTTGGGAGCCCAAGGAGGAAATGAGGAAGCATTATCTAGGATTGTTCGAGGCGGCGGACTTCGACGACGAAGTCTAATTCAAGCGGGGGAGAACTGTAACGCTTTATTTCTGGTAAGATTTTAATTCGAAGTATTTCATTGTCCTGAAGAACTCGTCGCGTTGGAAGCCCCAGCTCGACGTGTTGAAATTGTTTTAGCCGCAGGATTTTATGAGGCAACCCGACGAGTCGAGGATCCTCAACTCGACAAGTTGACCGCTCTGGAGGAAACCCTAATTTTAGGGTTTCACACCCTATTTAAACACCTTAAGTCCCCAGGTGTTGGCCTTATTTCCAGCCTCCGAAGTCCCTAACCCTAATCTCGAAACCCTAAAGCCTTTTTGAGTGTTGTGAGCCCTTTGAGAGTGTATTTTGGTGTATTTGAAGCTATAGGAAGAAAAAGAAGCTTGGTGCAAGGTGGTGATTCAAGTTGGAGCCTTTAAGATTTTGATTCTTCGCTTCATTTCCAACATATTTCTGGTATAAAGTTCTAACCTTGCTCAATATTTGTTTGGATCTCTTTTTGGGTTAGTTTTGAGGTTTTTAGCCATATTTGGGTGATTGGTGGGGTTGAAGGTCGTCCTAAGTGCTATGTTTCCAGATCTATGGTCATCTTAAACTCTTTTGGCATAAAGGTGCCAAGTTTATGGTCTTAAGAGCTCCATGCATGCATTAAGTCCATTTTATGGCTTCTTTTGATCATTTGAGCCTCTTCCATGCATACTTGAGAGTAAAGTTGGAAACTTTACGTGTATGAGCAACCTTTAAGAAGATTGGTGTTTTTGGTGTTAAAAAATGTTGAGCTGATTTTAAGTTCGCAAGTTCGTACAAATCTTTTGGTTCTTAAAAGAACCTCTCTCTCTCTCTCTCTCTATATATATATATATATATATATATATATATATATATATATATATATATATATATATATATATATATATTGGTTATATCATGGTATTTAAAAGTTAATACCATTAACGTACCAAGTTTACCAAATTAGTATGGTAGTAACAACCAAACATATTGGCTACTAAACATAACGGTAACCAACTTTCTTGGTTTGGTTGGTAGTATGTTTGTTGGTTCTCCGTTGTACATATTTGACAACCGTATGTAAAACTGCAAAATTAATAGACTATTTGATTTTTGGTTAAATACTGGAAAAAAGGTAAATAAGATTAAGGTGTTTTTTTTTAAAAAAAAAAAAACAACTTCTGACCACTTATTGTTACGCCGCGCAACACTTGGCCCTTCACAGTTGTTTGTTTTTCAGAAGAATTCTGACTTAAAAACTGTTGCGCGTGTTCTGCATGGCGCAACACTTGACCCTCTGCTTCAAACATTTTCACACATTATTTTAACTTATTGCAGCAGTCTGCAAATGTAAAAAAAAAAAAAAAAAAACAAACATACTTTTTATTACATGTTGCAGCCGTTTGATTCTCTTCTTTTGTTACAGAAGGTTGCAAAGGTTGTCTGCAGACTTCATACATTTTTGCTTCGAAAAAACAAACGATACCTAAATGTATTTGTCTTTTTCTCTAACAAAATGATCATATTTAAATTTAATGTTAAAGAAAATAACCAAAAGATAGATTTTCTCCTGACTAGATATAGGTCGGGCACCCAACCCTGATTTAGTGGTCTCCCTATTTATAGCTTGTTTCAACTGTTAACAAAAATAGTTTCAGATGATGAAGAGTTTGGAGTGTTGATATGTTCTCTATATACTTGTATGTTTTTGTGCACATTTTATTGATTCACATAGTGTAAAATAACCGGAATCTAAGTACACATAATTGGTCCAGAATTTGTTGAACTTATGGTCAAAATACATCTATATCATCTACTGGCTAAATGAATAACTACTCTTAAGTGGCTTTTATTTGGTTCCAGAACACAATAAGTGATCTGGAATACAAGCATGTAATGAAACTTTTTGCAATTTTATAATGAAGCTTTTATAAGTATAACATAGCTATTTGCATCCAATCCATAACCATCTACAAAACCAACAATAAACAAGATAATTCTCTTCTTCTCTTCTTTCTTCTTAACTTGTTCTATCAAAATACAATATTATAACTAAATGCCAAGATACTCTTCTACTCATACAAACAAACAAACCCAATATTTCTCACGTGTAAATTCTGTCAAATAATACAATAACAACTCATCAATATTCTCTCTCACCCATTCCATTCCCATCACAGTAACATCTTCATTACCGGATTGAAAACTTCTCATTTCCATTTCCATTATAATAATTTTATCTAAACACCCAAAAATCAACCTCTTCACGCATGCAAATCTTTATCTGAACTCCACACACCTAACTTCTGAGGACTACTTTCGCTTACAGTGTTCACCCCGTTTTCCACATTTATCAAAGGATCACTCTCGCTCTCCTTCAATAAAACAAAACAATCAGACAACAAGAAAAATATATAAAACAACAAAGGAATGGAATGGAATAAGTAACGGAATGGAATTGATGATTACCTGAGATAATTGTGTTAATGGTTCGATGACTTTTGGTTGAGCATCACGGGTACAGAAATAAGAATAAAGCACCATGCCAACAACAGCAATGAGGATTCCAAGAATGTTTCTCCAACTAAATGGATCATGTAATAAAACATATCCAAAAGCTAAAACTAGGCATGTTTTTAAATGACCTAATACTTGATAAGTTACAGGAGATGTTTTTCCAATCACCAAGAATGTACTGAAGTTTACTGATACTGATATCATGCAAGAAAGGACAATAAACCCCTGAAATTTTGGATTAGATGGTTAAAAATAGCAACATGATTTCACTTCTTTCTATTGTTAAAAGTATGTTGATGTTTCTTGCATTGAACTTCAAGAGATTAAAAAAGAAAAAGGGTATTTTTGGTACTAACCAGGACTAGAGGAGTGTATTTGAAGGCAAAAACGTTCTTATTTGTCAAAAGGGCGTCTAAAAATGGGCCCACGATGAATAATGTAAGAGCTTGATAAGGGCATGATTGGTATAGAAGTTGAGTTGATGAAACCTTGTATTTCTTCTGGATTGTATTTGTCATCTGAGATGGATCTGTTAAGATTCAACATATAGGCCCCACATGACATAACATAGCAAATGTCAATGTGAAAAAATATTCTAATTTTTTGTCCTACCCAAAAAGATGTAAATACCCTTGTGATTCTCAAGGTTAAAAAAAGGCCATAGAAAGCTTGTCAATGGGACAAAATTGCAATCTTTTGATTCGCCCGAAAAAGGTGGGACAAGGATTTGATTTGGATCTCTCATATGTGAAAAAGACATAAATACCCTTGTGATTCTCAAGGTTAAGAAATAAACCATAGAAAGCTTGTCAACGGGACAAAATTGCAATCTTTTGTCTCACCCAAAAAAGGTGGGGCAAGGATTTGATGGGATGTCTCATATGTGAAAAAGACGTAAATACCCTTGTGATTCAAAATATTTAAAGGAAGGATACAATCTGAGCAACACAAGTTGTAAGGACTGCTAGCAGGGATAAAACACTGCCCAACATGTTGAGTTGTAGGTCAGTTACAGTTGCAATACCAACTCCCATGAGAAGAACAGTAAGTGAGAAACGGATCTTCTTGCTGTAAAAAGTGATAAGTCACCTCAAATATGAGTCATAAGGGTAAAATTGTCTGAATGGACAAGAAATTTCCGAAAAGTAAATCTTGAAGAGAAAATGGTAAGAAAGAGAAAGGTAAAAAAAGGTTAACCTGAATTGTTTGCTGAAGAAAAGAGTCTCTAAAAGAACAGTGCATGGGATGATTGCTAATTTGGTCATCTGAAATGAAACCATGAAAAAACAAACATTACATTTCCCTAAAACTAATGAAAATATTAAAGTGTAAATGAACATTTTATACACTTTTGAAAGATTTTAACACAATAGGTAATGATTATTAAAAAAATTTGTCATCTTTAGTTGCATTTGCATGAGTTGTCTCAATTATGATCTTCCATAACCACAGGGAAGAATCACTATCTGTTTGGTTAGATGGAATGGAATGGAATAAGCAAGGTAATGGAATTAGTCATTACCATTCCATGATCATATTTTATTGAACTCCATAATGGAACAAGGAAAAAGAATCTCTAGTTAGCAAATGAAAGGAATCACATTCCTTAAAAAAATGGTCCATTCTATTCCATCCAACAAAACAAACAGTAATTCTTTTTCATTCCAATTGAAAGAACCATTTCATTCCTTCTCTGATTCCATCGTAACAAACACTGGAAGTTATAAAAAAAACTTTACCTGGTAAAAGCCAACAGAATTGAAACCGAGGCTAAGGTTTAAAAGCCCAATAGAGGTCCCATTCAATATGCCAAATCCCATTACAGCTTTAGGATCAAAAGGTTTGTGCTCAAAAAATTTCATCCATAATGCCACATGTAGTGAACAAAATGTGACTAAAAGATGCCAGCTTGTCAAAGTTGTAGCTGAGAGAACAAGGAATCAAGTCAAAACCAACACAAGTATGAAATAGGAACATCCATTAAATGGTTTTAACTATGAAGAAAGAAACTCGTGTCAAATCATGGTATAAGAAAAACTTCAAAATCGTATCATAATAGATGAGTTAACATATTGGTTAACTGTAGGTGGATCAGCACATCAAGATTCAAAACAAAGCAAGATGTGTGTAGCAGAGAGATGTGTGTAGGTGGATCATCAGTTATTAGTTAATCTTTTCCAGCCATGGGAAAGCATCAGGGCTTTAGGATAGGTATAGGGCCACATGAACATGAAGGAAGATAGTTAAGAGAGATTTGAACAACAACATATTACATATACCAAATAATGTGTGGGTAGTTGTTCAAGCTTAAACCTAAGACCTCACTTATGGAAGATAGGATCATATCTCTGAATTATGAAGCTTCGGTGATCCACAAAAAGAAATAAAAGAGTAATTAAACTTGGTGCAAAAGATCAATGGCTTACCGAACGTAAAACCAAGGGTGCTGATGAGCGCTTTGTTGCAAATTACAATCGAAACCGAAGAAACCACAGACAAACCTAACGCCCCGATTGTTCCCAGCTGAAACCGCTGTCCTTCACTCATCTTCTTTGCTCACCGACAATAATGGTGCTGAGTGATACGTTTCGTTTATCGCTTCAAATGTAGATCTTGATTTCAAAACCTACGTAATAAACAAGGTATTATTATAGGTACAATTTCAACATCACAGTTACTTTTTGTTAAATTAAAGTAAATCCAAACGTAGAAAGCATCAGAAGTCGAATTTTACCTCGCTCAAGTGAATTACGAACAGACAAACTGCAAGGCACGGAAATTAAAAACGTAAGTACAAATAAACACCTGTGAAATTCCGCATTTAAAAAATCAAAACCCTAGATCTGCAACTGTAGATTTGGGTACGTGGAAACCTTTCAAATTTAGAAAGAAAGAAAAAGGGAAAAGCGAATGCGAATACGAATACGAATGCGAATGCTCACCTGAAACTGAAGCTGATATGACTGTGAAACTGACAATGAGTATCGGATCGAAATATGTGTAAATATAGTATGAAATTAAATTAAAATATTACCCAAATTGATCTAAACCCTCAAATCCCAATTTCCTTTTTAATGGGGGCGGAAAGGTGGAGGAAGTTAATGCCACCAAAAGTTGACTTGTTTTTAAAATGTGATTTTCCGGCAGGTTTCACGCCGGCGGATCATGAGTTTAAATGCTTCAATGGAATCACGAAAATGGATTTTCATGGGGTTTATCTTATTCATTTCAGTTTAGGTTGTTGGTGTTTCAAATCTTTCAAGATTTTGTATCTACCTACCCAAACCTAGATCATGTAAACTAAAGCCAATGCAAATACTTCCTACTTTAAAATCTCATCATTGAGTTTCCTAAATGCCAAACTAATTATTTATACATCATTTTTTCACAATATATGTATGTGGAAGCATTTAAGTTTGCCAATTGTTACTTTTCAATGTTATCATTATAACATGTACTCACCTATGCATGATTACTTTCCATGTTCTACTTTACTCATCTAGGTTAGGTAATATACTTCTATCAAAAGCAACAAAGGCATTGTCTTATCATACATTACTCATATAGGTAATGTACTTACATAAAAGCATGATTACCCTTCATGTTCTACATTAACCATTTTGAAGTGCATATGGTGAAGGATAGAATTGGACAAAGCGATATCGTATCAGGGCAAAAAAGCATTTTACAAGGGCTACACTATTTTATAGTGCTTCTAGTGCGAAATGTGTGGTTACATTGTGAATAAATGAAATTTTGGGTTATTTTTGACAAATCATTAAGGAAATTGGCTATTTTAGATTGTTATTTTTTTTATTTTTTATTTTTATTATTATTTTTAATCTTGAATAACAAATCTAGTATAAGGATACGAACTTAAAGATTTTATTTTAAACAAACATCTCATAATCCAAAAACCGTTTTAAATAGGTTTAAAGAATTTTCACTTTTTAGTTTTTGTATAATGTTACATCTTTAAAAGTTTACGACTATTTTTATACAAATAAATTTTTTAGTTTTTAGCTAACAACTAGATTTGCTAAATATACTTACTATCTTAATATTAAAAACCTTTATCAAACATAATAATAATAATAATAATAATAATAATAATAATAATATAATATAATATAATATAATATAATATAATATAAAGGAATTATGAGTTGTATATATATTTTGTTAGTGGTGATTGGCAAGTGAACATTTAATGATTAAAAGTATATCATGGATGCAACACGGCTTTTATTATAATGGACATATAGGATCAAGAGGCAAAATAAATAACGTTCGTTGAAATAATCGGCAGAAAACAACTTGATAACTAATGGATACATACCTAAAATTCGTTAAATTTTTAATAATTAATATAGGAAGTATGCAATTTTAATAATTAAAATATATAAGCTTTTTTTAAAAGGAACCACAAAATAAGAATCAGCTTTGAAACCAATTGGTATTATGGGTAAGTGCAATATGGTTTTCCTCCAAACTAGGTCTGACAATCAAGTTGACTTCGGATTAGGGATGGCAAAAAAACCCGAACCCGACAAGAAAACCCGAACCCCGAAGATTTTGGGGCGGGTCGGGTCACTCTTATCGGGTTTTGGGTCGGGTTTCGGGTCATTATCGGGTTTTTAGTTCGGGTTCGGGTCAGGGAGTGGGGTATGCATGCCCCGACCCGAAAAATTATATTTATATATATATATATATATATATATATATATATATATATATATATATATATATATATATATATATATAAAATGAGATTTCATCCCTCTAACCCATTTCAGCCACCCGAAGACTCTAACCTTCAATCCCATCACGTATTCCCAATTTCTCACTATTGTGATGAATTTAGTTACGATATTAGACTTTAGTAATTTCTATTTGGTTCACTTATGTTAAGAACTTATTTGTATTTTAAGCATTTGTAAGGTTTTAATTTCTCAATTGTTTCATTGTAGTTTTCCTAATTTTTTTCTGCCATCATTTTCGGGTCGGGTTTCGGGTCTATATCGGGTTTCGGGTTTCGGGTCGGGTTCGGGGATATTTTTAGCCCCGACGGGGCGCCCCGATAAGAAACCCGTCGGGTTCGGGGACAAATATAAATATCGGGTTCGGGTATGGGATATGCCGCCCCGCCCCGAACCCGCCCCGTTGCCATTCCTACTTCGGATTGATAGGTCAGAAAACATAAACTCAACCTACCTCATATAATATATGAGTTAGTGGGTTGACGAATCTCAGATTAGTGGGTTGGAAACCTCAACCCAAACCAACACAATCCATATAATTCGTTTAAGTATATGAGTTTGCGGGTTCACAAGTAAGTGGGTTGAACACAACCTATATAACTCGTTTAATAATGAGTAACACATTTTAAAATGAGGTTTTTTCAGTATAAACTCATAATATGATTAAAGTAATTAACATAAAAAAAAAGGTTTCAACATAAATTAATAATCATTAACATCCAAATAAAATTGAAAAATGAAAACATTCATATAGAATTAATGTGTTCTCGTCCGTGACTCGTGAGTATCTAAAAATGAAGACATATATTTGTGAGTATATCTATTTTTTTAAAGGTTATATACGCACGCACACACACGCACGCGCGCGCACGCATGCACGCACGCACGCACACACACACACACACATATATATATATATGCGAAAAATACGAGAACCAATAAGAACATTACACATCATTAATCATGTTTTATACAGTTTGTTTTATTTAAATTATTTAAAAAGGGTATATAAGTAATTTAGTGAGAAACGAATTTGAATCAGGTTATCAAATTAATAACTGTATACATACCAAATGGCTTCTAACCTAACGGTATTAGATGGTGTCCTCCCTCTTTGAGGTCGATGGTTCAAGTGCTATCATGAATGTATGTAGATTTAGGTGTTATTTTAGGAATATATTATATATTATATTTGCTCCTTCAAAATAATAATAATAATAATAACCTTACACATTAAGTGCTTCATTAAATTACAAATAACTTCTTCATACTATGAACGAACGATGCTCCAAGTAATGCTCTCCGAACTTCAAAATCAGAATCACTTAAATAATCTAAAAGATGTACAACTAAAAACAAATATTAACATATCATCTATATAATTAATTTATTTAAATAACAATCAATTTAAGATAACTAACCTTCTCGATCAGGATTATTTGAATTTATTTGACCAAACAAACCATATTTTTTTCTTTTTCCTTGAACTATAAACCAAGGCATAACAATTATTCCTTGTTTTTTTCTTCTTTCAAGAATTACCGGATGAAATGTCGATTAAATTCTTAAGCAACAATACACATCACTTTTAACTTAAACCATACAATATTAATTCGATCACTTAAAGATACTTAAACAACAATACACATCAACTTTTAACTTACTCCGAATATCCACATTAGCACTTCGAAAATCTTCTTGGTCTGATACTTCATCATCATCTATTTCGATAGGATGATCAACATAATTAACCTTCAAATCAAAAATTTCAACATAATCATTTTCACACTAATTCTTTTTTAAAACCAATTTTTCTGATGCCATTTTATGATTCTTCTTGAATTTTGTATGCGACTAACCGTACTATTCTTTACTTTCTCATCTAACAATGCTTTGAAAGTAAACATTAATTTCAATAAATTAAAACTGCCTACTCTATTTTATTCCTGATAATATAAACTAAAAACTCAGAATAAAAATTGTATAAATGAAAAACTAATTCTTCAAAACCGACCATATAAACAGTTGTAGACATTTTGAAAACTTACTCCACAACATACACCGGTCAGAAAAGATATAAGATAATCTCCAACAAAAAATTACAATATTATCCTTTCAATTAAAAGAAGTTCTAAAATGGAATAAAAACATGTTTAAATGTGAAAAAAAAAACATAAATACGGAAATATACATGATTTACTCCTATCAATTGTTTTCTTTTTTCACATCTTCTTTTGTTTTTTTACGAGAACTCACTTGTGTGCGTATATATATATATATATATATATATATATATATATATATATATATATATATATATATATATATATATATATATATATATATATATATATATATATATATCTTTACTATCTTATAAAAGAAATCTAACTATTTCTAAAAATAGATTGATTATAATAATAATATTTTTTTAAGACATCCAAATGATGAAGCTGATAGTACAAGTAATCATTAATAAAATAATATTAAATTTTAACCACATTTTGAATTCAAAAATTTATCATCAAATCTCCTTATATTTCTCACCAATTTGATATGGTTCCTTCAAGTCCCGGATTCATTCAAATTTTGAACTCTTTTAGATATCCTTAAATTTAGCATGTGGATTCAAATATCCCTCCAATCGCATATACCTCTTTGTTCCCTCCTCTACTATAAAGCCTACCGTCCAGGAACAAAAAATGACTTCATCTCCCAAATAACACCATAGTTTGATTATTTTGTCTTCAACATGTACTTTCTTTTGTAACATAACATTTTTGTAGAGGAAACATATCACCGAAAAAATTTACACGCACCGCCGTTTTACGCGGCTACACTGCTAGTATATATATATATATATATATATATATATATATATATATATATATATATATATATATATACACACACACAGAGAGAGCGAAGTATGTTCAATCTAGAACATTTCTTATTGCGAGAACATTTGAGAACAAATTTTGACTAGTAATTTTTAAATGCTAAAATTTAATGACATGTTAAAAAATATTTTAATTTTATTAAAACATAATTAGAACTTTATTTTTATTTTTATAGACTTTGTCTCTCTACGTATCTCTCACATCTTTCTTTTTCTATGTATCTCTCTCCTATGTCTCTCTCTACATATCTCTATTATATTTCTCTCTCTACATATCTTTCTCTCTTTAGATATCTCTCTTTCTCGTTTCTCTCTTTACATGTCTTTCTCTCTCTACACATCTTTCTGGGTAATTTGAACCAACATCACAATTGATGGATGTAACGCCCGTAGATCCGGACTAGTCAATTTAAAGACGATAAGCATCAAAAATGACTTTTTGATGGAAGATTATTTAGAAGTATTAATCTTAGCCAAGTTGTAGTATATGTCACAAGGTTTCCATGCATATAAAGAACGCCAAAATCCAAGTTATAACAAAGAAGTTATAACCTGTCGAAGTTTCGCGACAGAACCGACATGACCTAGCATGACCCAGCGCGACGTAAATAGTGAATTTAAGGTAGATAGATATCTATCCTTAGTGATCTAAACGAGAGTCAAAGATTTCTTCGATAGTAGTCCAACGATAAAAAGACAGACGAAAACAGAGTTCAAATGAAGGAGTTATGAATTTCGAACGGACTTTTCCTATCCCGGCCTACTATAGATAATATATAAGTAATATACTTATAATATATTAAAAATAAAGTCAAAATTATCCAATGGAGTCTAAACGAGAGTTGTAGATCATAATCTCACCTTCGCGTCGATATAAAGAACGTCGAAAATGGAGTTCGTATGCGAAAGTTATGAATTTCTGAAGTTCGGGGCGCGAAACCCCAAAACTATCAGAGACCATGACGTGGCAAGCAGTGCCACAACGTGGCAAGTCTCCTGACAGCTCCGGGAGTCCCCTAGATGCAACTTGGGATGACGCATGCAGTGACGATCAAGCCCACGACGTGGCAAAAGGATCCCACGACGTGCCAAGGGCCAAATTTGCCCTATAAATATATTTGAAGAGCCAGCCGACTATGGTTGCTCCATCCCTTCTCTCCCACTCCCGATACACCTTCTAAGCCCTATTTTAACCCCCCTAAGCCCCGATATCAACCCCGAGACCCGAAGCAAGTCCCGAAGCACCGAAGATCCCGAGAAGAAAAGAGTTTCCGAGTCGAAGCTCTGCCCGCGAGAAGTTCGATTTTTGCGGAGATCTTCCAGATCTACCAAAGAATACTACTTCTGCAAGTCGTAGTGCTGTCTGATCATCTTCTGATCAAGTAAGTGTATACTACCTTTCATAAACATGATAATAATACAAGTATGGTTTGAGTGTATTAAGTTTATTGTTGTTTATATGTGTGAGTGTGTAGTTACTTTCTTCTAACACATAAATATGATGTATTTGCTATGAAATACGTGCTATGTGTTTATATGTCATTTGTCTATTTGAGATGGGCATGGAAATTGGAGTTTTATACAGGTGTTAAATGATTTAAACTGTGTAAGTATTTATATCTACAAAATTGTTGGGTAGAACATAGGTAGATGGAATAGTTGGTGACTATGGAGTTAGCGCCTATTGTATAAACCTTGGCGACTATGGAGTTAGCGCACGTTGAGTAAACCTTGGCGACTATGGAGTTAGCGCACGTTGAGTAAACTTTGGCGACTATGGGGTTAGCGCTTGTTGAGTAAACCTTGGCGACTATGGAGTTAGCGCTTGTTAAGTGAACCTTGGTGACTATGGAGTTAGCGCCAGATAACTATGGATTTAGTACTTGATAAATAAGCTTTGGCAGCAATGGAATTCGTGCCAAATTCCTTACGAATAAATGAATGAAGGATAGTTGGTTCTTAGGGTAAAACCTTAAGAAGATAATGGGGATGGGTAATTGGGTTGATTTTTTGCTGATTACATATAATAATTATATTATTGTGGGTTGAAAACCCTATATGCTTACCATGCTCCCAAGCCTGACCCACTCAGTTTTCTTTTCATTACAGGTAATGGCACAAGAGTATAAGTTGGTGGACTTGACGAGAGATTTTGGATTTTAGATCAGTAGTCATAAATAACTGTTGTAAGATTTATTTTATATTGTTTATGCTTTTGGTCTGTATCGAACATGACATCCCAAGGTTTTATTATTTAATGAAAATACATTCTTTTCGAGAAATGTTTTGATAAATGGTTATCATATTTTATTTTGGGAACAAATTCCGCAACTCTTTTAATCAAAAGATTACTCTGATTTTATAAAACAAAGCATAAACAAATCGGTCTTTTCTGGCCATGAAATTGGGGATGTCACAATGGAGCTCATCGTTAACTATCTCTCCCGCAAGTTCCAATCGACAGTGAAGTTGATCTCTATAAAGACGGTCTATGAGAGCTTCCAGGTAATAATTTTTCAGTTTATACACCTACGCTTTTTCAACCTAAATTGACTCGATTTCTCACGAAATTCATGAAATTAAGCTTATAATGAACGACTAATCGATGTCTAATACTTGATTTCACATCATAGAAGACGTTTTACTTGAAAATTTCCCTTATATTTTCCTGTTGTTGATGAATTACGGACTTGTTTGTTCATTTGCTTGCTTTTGTGAGGAATTATATGTACAGTTGGATTGTTTTTATTGAAAATTGTAAGCTCTAGGGGCTGAATTGGAGTCTATTAGAGAGTTGATGGTCACTGTAGGATTTCATGCACACCAGGTGTTTGTCATATTGTCTGAAAGAACCTAATAAGTGTGAAAGTGGCATTTTATGTGAAAATCCTTAACTTTGAACCCTCACTAAGCCAAGCATTAAGGCCCTTAGTTTAAATTGAATTTCACATCTCTATAGCCTAACAAGTAACCAAAAATCATGTTAAAAGTGATAAGCTTAAAGCTTAACCATTAATTACTTAATAGAACACCAAAAGTGATTTAAAAGCTATTATGATCAATCTTCCCAAATCTGTCCTCCAACTTCTAAAATCCGTGCATGTCAATAAGAGCATATAAAAATCATGAGATTTAGTTTTTTGGAAATCTTAGTGTGTCTAGTTTCTCCAAAATTTGAATCACATTTCGAAATTCCAAATCCTTTAGGGGTAAAATTATCAATCTTCTCAGGCTGGTCCATGCTGACACAGATTTCATGCATTGTCTTCAAAAAATCATAATAAATTCATCAAAACTTCAAATAATAAAATTCCAAAGCCTATAGTTAGATGTAGATGTATAGTTTTCCACATATAAAGGAACTGATGTAATTCTTAGTAGATTGGTACAGTTTGTTCCAATAGTGTTGAGTGGTCCAGAAAGTGACAATTTAAAGTTACTAACTTATAAATTTAATATAAAATCAACCAAAAATCGTTAGAACGAGATATTTATATTTATGAATAGATAAAATGGGGTACTTTACCAATATTATTTTATTGAAATTTAATAATGGGTTGAAAGGTAAGAAAACAGATCCCAAACAGAGCACTACAATCAAAGAGAAAATAAGGAAATATGTACATAAGTTTTATAAGAGTAATACAACAATGCACAAGCTAAATAATGTTATAGTTGTTGTGTAGGTTCTCGGAAAGGAAATGATCCATCTAGCTCAAGCTAGATAATTTTCAAGTTCAAGGAGGTGAGTAACATTATCTCTCCCATTGTGTAGGCATTACTTTTTTTTATGTTATTATTAACGAATACCGTAATCCGGTAGAGTGAACAACGAAAAGCAGAATGTAGTTTGTTCTCTAGTAAGACAAGCAGACAACATTTATTTCTGTGTTCTTGATTTTTTAATTGTTCTCGTGTATTAAATTACATGTGATTAAATGATCTAATCACATAAGACTTATATGCACAAAATTCATTTTTATGTTTTCGATTCAATAGTTGTTCTTT